TCTCTCCCTATTTATTTCAGAACTCCCTTCCCCTCCCCCATTTCTGAAGAAGGGTCTAGGCCCGAAACATCAGCCTTCCTGCTCCTCTGATGCTGCTTGGCCTGCTGTGTTCATCCAGCTCTACATCTTGTTATCTCAGATTCTCCAGCATCTGCAGTTCCTACTATCTTTGTAGCTAGGAAAAAGGTGTTTTTTATGCAGAAGATAAGGTGGGGGGAGGGGGTGAGGAGTAAATGATAGGTGGAGATAGAACCCAAAGAGGGAGAAGAACAATTGGACAGACAAAGGAATGGATAACGATCAGCCTGGGAGAATGAATGCCACTAATGGAGGCAATAAGTGGCTCACCATGGGGAAAGTTTCCCAGTCTTACCGTTCAAACTTTCCCATGGACTCCTGGTTGGATTTACTCATGACTATCTTATATTTATGGCTTCTATTTCTTTGCATCTACCCTGTAAACTTATATCATGACCTTACATACCACAATTATGTCCCCTCTCTTTAGAAGAGAACAGGGTTCCAGCCTGTTCATGATTTCCCAACAGTTATATCACTGCATCTTTCTTGGAAATTATTTCGCATTACCGCGTTATTTCATATTATGGATACTATAACTGAGTAATTAGCTCACAGACTATCGTTCAATCATACAGTGTAGCAACAACCCACGAGATAGAATATGAAACCACTGTGAAGTGAGATGGTTGGACAGGAAATGAAGATTGCTTAAGGGGGGAATAGTATAGTTTTAAGGTACTAGCAAAGAATAAGTTTAAGCAGAAAGTGAGATGTGGTGAGCATTGACTTCAACAGAGCGGTTTTGGCGAAGGAGGCACTTTCGGAGGTAGACAAAGGAAACAAGTTATGAGGAGCAGTCACCATGGAAGTATTAACAAAGTAAAAGCAGAACAGTCAAAGTGCCATTTTTTTTTTAATTGAACCAGCTTTGCATTAAAACACAGCCTGAGATATGGACCACTTAACCAGCAGGGTGCAAGCTAAGAGCTGAAATATTATACTGAGAGAGAAAGCAAGATTTTGAATAGTGAATATTTCTTCAAAAGAATGTCATCAAACTGTGCTGCAAAATGACAGAGCCATTTTTAGGCTTCAGCCAAACAAGCTTGCGTTGTTAACATCTGATTTGTGGAGTTTGGAATGATGTTTGGCTTTCTTAAGATCACTTATTATCCATATTATCTTCAAAGCAAAAGACCTCCAAGAGGAATAGATGATATTCTCTGGGTCAAATCACAATCATATAAGTACTGCAAAAGTGGGAGTTAAACATACATTAAATTATTCTATTCAGTAAGTTATTTTTTCTCTGGTTTTCAATTTGAGGAATTCAGTGCTGTGGAAAAGCAATTTGCACCCAGTGTCAGCAGCAAAGTTCTGATGCAGAATCATTAAAGGATGAAGCATCTCATGATTGTCTTCATCAAGCACTTTCCAGGTAGTTGCTTTACAGGTTGGATGCAGATTTTAAGATACCACAATCACATTTACATGAGTGAAGAAATAGGAAGTGAGAAAGTTCAGTTCTCGTTGTACTCAACCATACAATGGAGATTCAAATTGAGGAATAATTGAGGAATCAATTTTATGCAAAAAAGGCAATTTATATTATGAAACTGTGTTTTTCTTTTTGTTGTACAAAAATAAGTAAAATTGCAGACATGGAAAAAAGCTGCACAGTGGTTATTTTCAGAATGGCCAACTCCCCCAGATGGCCAGGTTTGTTGAAGATTAAACCCCGAGATATTGCTGCAATAAAAAGCCTTTTTCAGTTTTCTTTCAACATGTTTGTTCATTCATTATAAAAATATTAACAATGAAGTAGCAAGATTAGATTGGAAGTGCGAGTTATGCGATAGAGACATCAAAAATATGTTCAGTTAGGATGGGTAACTTTAGTCATGTGTAGTTTTTACGGTTGCATTCACATTATCACAATGCCAAAATACTGCTTTTTTTCCTACTCCTTGCTAACTGCTTTCTGCACAAGCTCAAGACCATAATACATCTGGAATTATAAAAAAATCATCAATTTTCAATCTTGTCTCAACTTTATCTGGTCTATCTCCTTTCCTTTTCCTTGACTTCCCCATTTCTACTCCTGGGGATAGGCTATTGGCCCATATCCACTGCAAACCCACTGCCTCATACAGTTACTTTGACTTTGCATCCTCACACCTGGCTTCCTACAAGGGCTCCATTCCATTCTCCTGCAGTCTTTCTGTGTCTGTCTCATCTGTACCAGTGCTGTCAATTTCCATTGGGATGCCTCTTTTTTATACTCAACCAAGCATTCCCCTTCATTGTTTCTGAAGAAGAGTCTAGGCCCGAAACGTCAGCCTTCCTTCTCCTCTGATGCTGCTTGGCCTGCTATGTTCATCCAGCTGTACACTTTGTTATCTCACACTCCCCTTCATTGTGTTTAGCAGGGCCTTCAGCCATGTCTAACCCATCTCTTGGACTTCTGACCCCTTCATCTCTCTCCCAGAGCAATGATGGGGCTTCTCTTGTCCTTTTCCATCTTTCTAATCACTACATTCAAAGAATCATCCTTAGCCATTTCTGCCAACTTCCAGCTCTACCACTCAACACATGTCCTTCTTTCTTCACTGTCAGCGTTCCACAGGGACTGTTCCCTCCATGATATGCTTGTTCACTCTTCCATCACTCTTAACATTTCCTTAACCTCCCATGGAGTGCCACCACACCTTCCCACACAATTGCAAAAGACCTAATACTTGCCTGTTTTCCCTCTGCTTTGTCCAGGGCCCCAAACACACCTTCCACGTGAAGCAATGTTTTATTTGTATTTGTTTCAATCGAGGCCACTGCATTCACTCTTTACATTAACGAGGCCAAATGTAGACTGAGTGATTGGTTTGCGGAATACCTGTGCTCTCTCTGTAAGAGTGGCCCCAACTTTCCAGTTGCTTGCCATTTCAATGAACCACTTTTCTCTCATGCTAACATTTCAGTCCTGGGCCTGCTGCAGTTTTTCAATGAAGCTGAATGCAGTGAATAAATAACGTTTTCTGCTTAGACACTTTGTACCTTCTGGGACTCACATTGAGTCCAACAGCTTCAGAACATGACCTCTGTCCTCAATATTGATTACAATCACCACCCAATGTGTCATATTGACTTTGTTCTCAGCAAAGCAGAGCCATTTGCTCCTTCTCATTTCTATCAATTAAATCTCTATTTCTATTCTATCACTATTAGTACTCTCTTTGTCTTTTTTCTGGGCACCCTTACCATCTGGTCAACACACCCACTAACTAAAGTATTAATACCATTATTTTCCAGCCCTGTTCAGTTATGAAGAAGAGTCATATCAGACCTGAAATATTAACTCTGTTTCTCTCTCCACAGGTACTGCTAGACCTGCTGAGTTTCTCTCTGTTTTTAATTTCAGCTTTCAACATATGCTGTATTTTGTATTTATTTATTATATTATGATCATGCTTGATTGCACTGTTTTGTCACATAGATTAGACACTTAATGTTTTGTGGCCAGAGCTACCTATGATCAATGGCTTGTTGCCTCAGTACCAGTTGTGTTCATGGAACCATACTAGAAGTGAAAGTCAATGAGTTAGATCTTATTTGAGTGGATCACTTTGCAACATGTGCTATTAGCTGAGCATTTCCTGAATCTTTCAGTTCAGTTGCTGCAGTTTTCTAGAAGGATGATGTGGAGAGGCAGACAGGGGATTTAGAAACTTGGGGAATGGAAGGTTGGAGGGTTTGAGCTATAGGGAGAGGCTGAATAGACTGAGGTGATTTTCCCCAGAGTGTCGGAGGCTGAGGGGTGACTTGAGAGGGATTTATATCTTATGAGGGGCATGCATAGAGTGAATAGTCTCCCCCAGGGTAGAGGAGTCCAAACCTCGAGGACATAGATTTAAAGTGAGAAGGGAAAGATTTAAAAGGGACTTAAGGGGCAATCTTTTCATGCAGAGATTATTGTGTGTATGGAATGAGCTGCCAGAGGAAGTGGTGGAGGCTGGTACAATTACAACATTTAAAAAGCATCTGCTTGGGTATATGAATAGCGAGCGTTTAGAGGAATATGGGCCAAATGCTGGCAAATGGGACTAGAGTAATGGAGGATATCTGGTTGGAATGGCCAAGTTGGACTGAAGGATTTGTTTCCATGTTGTACATCTCTATGACTCTATGACCACCAAAGGCTCCCTTTCACCAATGAGGTATAAGGATTGTGAAAGAGCCAGTGTAACAAAAGAAAAGAAAGATGCATTGGAAAACAAACCAGGCCCAGCAAGGGAAACATGAAGAGAGGGAAGAAATATTGGATGAAGAGAAGGAGAAAGAAGCAGTACCTAAGGGAAATGAGAGATTGATCAAAATAAAACATTATTCTCTTTTAAAATCTACAACAAGTATTTATTCTGTGAGAGAATGAGATTCAATAGTTGGAATTGCTCCTGTTTTGTTGCAGGCAGTTCTTTTAAAATTGTTATATTGATAAAGGAGTTCTTAATGGCTGAACTGTCTGTGTTGTTTTCAACAGATAACTAAGTTGCAAATCCAGAAAGTTGGTCAAAGTAACTGGGAGACTCAAATGAAAATGTTGTTGGTTTGAAGTAATAGCAAGAATGACATAAATTCATCAGCAAGGACGACACAACTGCAATTCTTGCCATATCTCTGGGCGATTTGTACAATAATATAAGTGCAGGTTATTAACTTGCTATTCGTTTTCCAGTCTGATATAAGCCAATGTGTTCAGGAGAGAAGACTAGCAGCAAATTAAAAAACAAATTGGAAACGCAATGTGCAGGAGATTGTAGACACAATGATTTCACGTTGCCATTTTAAATTGTGATCATCACTGGCTTATATGCCATGGTGAAAGAGGCAAGAAAAGAATATTATAATCAATGGACCAGTTCTAATAATCCAGTAGGTTATCAGAAAGAAAAATAATGCCATGATTTCTGTTTCTCTGCTTGAAGATTACTCCAGCTGTGGACAGCGACTTTGGCAGCTACAACTGCACGGCCAGTAACCGAATAGGAACCAGGTCTCAGGAGTTTACCCTCGTTCAAGCTGGTAAGTGAAGGTGTTTTGCAGAATCACTTCTGCTCTGTTCAACAAATATTGATTTTGATAATGGGAGCAGATGAAAGAAAGTGCATGCCAACCATGAATAAAAATTTTGAAAGATGCAACCCTGTCATATTTGCTTAACAACTGCCATGAGTTGCAATTTTTCCTTGTTTTCCATCATTCACACATTACAATTTCAAGGAAAGTCATGTGGTTATGGATGTAAACTTCTTAGTCTTCTCTACTTGCCTTCTTCCTCTAAGGGGAAGCAGTAGGATATGGTTATGTGCTCATTGTAGTAATTCAAAGCCACAGATAAATGCTCTGGCTGTTTAAATTCAAATCCTACCATAAGGGGAAAGAGAAAAGGGAGTGCCAGTGGGAGTAATGGAGTGATTGAGAGGTTATTTAGGTGCAAATGATTTGTATGAAAAACATAAAATGCTGAGAACAGAGCTAAAACTTAACCACATTTTGAGAAGCTTATTTTTCTTCATTCTTTCATGGAATGTGGGTATAAATAATAAAGTCAGCATTTATTGCCCATCATCTGTTC